TCAGCAGGGGTTGTTTCGTAGAAAAAGAGCTAGGGGAACTCATTAGCATAACTCATTAGCATATGCCACACCCCCTGACATCACCGGAAGTGTGTCATAAGACCACACCCCCTGACATCACCGGAAGTGTGTCATAAGGCCACACACCCCGCTCCCAACGACCCTTCCCCCTCCTGGCGGAGTGAGGGCCGGAAGCTGGGCGGCCGGAAGCAGGGGGCGGGGCTTCGTCATGTGCCCCGCCCCCACCTCACCCGGGGGAACTGCGATCCCCCGCGATCCCCCCCCCGAAATGACCTCTGGTATTCAGAGAGTTACAGCCTCTGAATATGGAGGTTCCATTGATTTAATTATTTATTAAAACATTGATTGGTGATTTCAAAAGAAATGTTTGAAATTGCAAAGTGGTGCGTGAATGGAATTTGCATGTGTAGGACATGTGACCTTAGCACTAGAATTCAGAGATTTACCCATGATTTCCTTCATCTTTGAAAAAGAGGTGAATACTGTGGACAGTGGCAGTGGAGTCTGCAGGGAGTGTCTTTGGTAGGGGGGAGGAGAAATCCGTGTGCTTCATCAAAGCCTGGCGTTCTAGAGAAACCTGGACTGCGCCTTTTATATTTCACATAGCAATCAGTCATTTCTTACATTAGCTATAATTATACAAGCCCTGACCCGGATAGCCCAGGCTAGCCTGATCTTGCCAGATCTCAAAAGCTAAGCAGGGTTGGCCCTGGCTAATATTTAGATGGGAGACCTCCAAGGAGGGATGCAGAAGCTGGCAATTGGCAAACCACCGCTGAATGTCTTGCGCCTTAAAAACCGTTTGGGGGTCGCCATACGTCAGCTGTGACTTGATGGCCAAAAATATATAAATGATACAACTTTGCATGACTTGCGTAAATTTTATTTTTGGAACCATGCATTTTGCGTCTGGCTAAACCATTTAAAAAGTCCTGTGATGGGTGGACCTGTTATCTGTGTATCTGTCTAATCCTCTTTGAAATGCAGCTAAAGTAGCAGCTATTATAGCATGCTGAAGCAGTAAATTCCACAGGTGAGAAAGACAATTTTGCTGATCTAAGTATTTCCTCTTGTTAGCAGCCCTGGGCCCATGTGGAAGGGCGGGATATAAGCCTAATAAGCCTAATAAATAAATAAATAAATTTCTGTGGGGGAAAATTGTATGGAATAAAAGATGAAAAAGTTGTGCTGCAGACTAGTTCCAAACTATGCAGTTTTCCTCTCAGAGGCAGACATGTGTAGTTTCTCCATTATTGTTGTGGCTGGCCGTACCACACAACAGCAATGATACTTGCACATAGCAGGTTTCCCCATAGTTTCCCTGCCCCAGATACACAGCAGTAGCCAGGCTCCACCACCACCAGGTTTTTCTCAGGTTTTTAAAAGTCTCTAGACCCCTTCATTGTGGAGATATGCCTTTCCTTTCAACTCTCCTCAATTAAAGAGGCCAGAGACTTACTTTTCAAAAAAATGAAAGATGGGAATGTAGAGAAACTAGTATACCATGAGGAAAAGCAAGTTATAAGTGTTTTAATTAATTTTTTTTGATAAAATACATATTATTTTAATGTTATATCACTATAATAATATTCAATTCCCCATTTTTAAAAAGTGGTAGGAGGACTGTGAGAAAGATGGTTGCTGTGTGGGTGGAACTGGGAAAATCTGAATTTTCTCACCCGCACAGCAGCCATCCAGACTTTGCTGTAAACTTTCCCAAAACTTCAGTGCAAAGCAGGGTTGGGAACGTTTGGGGGATAGCTGGGGGAAACCCTGGGATGTGGACCCTAATGCTGTGGGGAAGCGGGGGGGGGGGCAATTCCCAATAGTAGCATACCTATGGGAAATGACCTGTGTAGAAATGGCCCTGTTTTTAATATTTGGGGGGGAAATCTGTCTGGAAGACCTATAATGCTCCTGCCATGCACATGCAATTCCATCCTAAGTTTATCAGTACTTAAGGGAGGTACTTACATGGCCGATCACTGAAATCAAGTTTCCGGCATGGAAAATACTGGGTTTTGCACCTGTGGAGCACACGAGGGCTGAGCTTTAGATCTCAGGTGGTTTTGTTATTGTTCTGAAATGTCGCTTCAATGTCATTGTGAAGTCAAAAATGTCAAGTCAAAATTAAAATTTTCACACCAAGCCGACCTTTCAAATGGGTGTGTTGCTATGCCTCCTTTTCAATAGGAAATGTCAAAGCCTTCCCTTTCTATTATTTGCCAGCTGGAATCTTCCTGAAATTCTCTTCTGCAAAGATTTTCTCTATTAGACTTTCATTACAGTGTATCAAATATCAGCCTCAGAGGAGAAAGGGGAACAGGGAGCGATCAACTCAGTTACCGCCACTGTGGTCACAGCAATACCATCCCTGAGCCAGTCCGGCATGTCCTAATGCCTCGGTTCCCTCTGTTCTGATTTAGCGAAGAACCTTTTCCAGCATGCCTCACGAATGGCATCTGCTTGCCTGTTGATTTTTTTGGGTGATTCGGCGCACAATCATTGCTAGTACAGGCTCTTTCTCTGTCACTGTTGTGTGAACATGAAGCAGTGGGGGAAACCTGCAAGTCCATGGCAAGGAAACGGTTAATATGCTTCAGAGCTGGCTGCTGACTTCATTTCCTTTCCAGGCACTGTTGTCTCCTGACACACTGGGGTTGTGAAGCAACAGCAGAATTCAGACCCTGGGACAAAATGTTGCCACTACTCAAAATAACTTCATCCAGTATGGGGTAGGAGGGTGAAAGGCTGGATTCCTGCTCAATTCCTAGGGTGACTTTCAGCCAATCACTCTCTGTCAGCCCAAAAAACATTATGGGGCTATTATAGGGTTACAGTGAGAACAAAAATGAAGCAAGTGCCACCCTTGCAGGGACAACAAGTTAAAAATAGGATTGATGGAATCCCCTCCCCAAAAAAACATACACACACAAACCAATTTACAGGACTGAGTTCTGTTATCTAACAAGACCACCACAAACAGATTGCTGGAGAAGTTATTGTAGTTCTAATCAGCTTCCTCTGTTTGGTTTGCAGTGGCTACGACTTTGATTATGACTACTACAGAGATGATTTCTATGAGAGGTGAGTGGATGAGATGAATAAATGCCTGGTCCATGCCTGCATCTTCAGAAATAACAGTACTTCATATTGCCTCTGAAGAGCAGCACCGGGAGAGATGAAAATCACCAGAAACAATTCTTGCTTACTATATTAAGAAGCAGTAACAGCTAAATGTTAATGACCATTCTATATATTGATCTTCTTTTAGAATATGCTGAAACAAAAGTTTGCAAAAATTTGGCCACCTTTTTAAAAAAAATAAAATTTGCATTACAAAAGTTTCAGTACATGACACCAAAATTTAACATTTTAAGAGACTGAGTGGAAAGGTATACTTTCTCACTGTGGTCTCCAACCGGGTTCAAAAATATAAATAGCAATGATAAAACAAATTCAAGGTATGCTTAAAATACAACCTTACAAAGTCACCTGAAGACATACAGGGGGAAGGTGGGGGATATCCAAGTACAATCAGTGATGCCTTCTGGGAAAATGTCAACAGAGAGAAATGACTAAATACAGGGCTCCTTTTGTAGCAGGAACTCCTTTGCATATTAGGCGACACACCCCTAATGTAGCCAATCCTCCAAGAGCTTACAGTAGTCCTGTCAGCTATGCTGCCATGGGGGTTGGGGAGATCTGTTGACTACTAATTGCCGCTGCATTCTTTCTGTGCTTCTTCACTGCTGTAATGCTTATCTCTAAGTTGAGCAGGTGGTGTGATGTCTAACTTCAGTGGAACCGTGGGAGAGAGATTGGTTCCCAGCTTCAGTGCTAATGGCCTGAGCTCCTTCTCCCACGCGCAGGAGTATGGCTAATTGGCCAGGGCAGTGGGGGGTGTGTGTGCATACAAATACCGTATATTCTATTATGCCCGATGGGCAGCCACCATTCTTAACAGTGCCTATGTTAATGCATCTATAGCTCTTCAATAAAGTATTACCTTTCCTGATAAGCGTGTACTGCGTTGTTGGCTGTGTGTTCTGACAAACCCCTGTAAGAAGAGCTCTGTAAGCTCTTGGAGGATTGGCTATATTAGGGGTGTGTCGCCTAATATGCAAAGGAGTTCCTGCTACAAAAAGAGCCCAATGGAAGCCTATTCCAAAGAGTGGGTGCCACCACAGAAACAATCCTCACTTCTCTAAAGGTGTTCTTTAAAAAAAAACACCAAAGAGTACCTTCTTGCAGGTGTAAGGTAGCAGGGAAGAAGGTACAAAAGGAAGAGCTTATGAAACCCTTCAAACTGTAAAGGGTTTTCAAAATAAAACATCCACACTTGGAATTAGGCCGGGAAGCATGTTAGCACACTTGGGCCATTATCAGAGTGGTGGGTTCCTGCAGCCCATCCAGTTCTGGAGGCCACAGCATTCAGCAGTCACTGCGATATCTCCGTATATCACATCACCAAAGCACAGATGGCTGAGGGTGGGTCCTTGCAGAGAAAGGATAGTGCAGCCAGCCCAGAGCAGCCCAAGATATTTTGTTGGTATACCCACTGCCTCCTCCTGTGTTGGAACTCGGGTTTTAATACAGTTTTAATCAGGGCTTTTTTTGTGGAAAAAGCCCAGCAGGAACTCATTAGCATAATAGGCCACACCCAACAGCAGAAACATATTAGCATATTAGGCCACACCCCTGACAGCACAGCACATTGGCATATTAGGCCACACCCCCATGTTACCAGAAGTGTGCTCATCCAGCCACACCCACCTTTTGCTTCTTATTCTGTTTACCTTGTTTGTTGCCAAAACCCAGGGCCTTTTTTGTAGCAGGAACTGCTTTGCATGTTAGGCCACACACCCCTAATGTAGCCAATCCTAATGAGTTTCTGCTGTCAGGTGTGGCCTATTATGCTAATGAGTTCCTGCTGGGTGTGGCCAACTTGGAAGCCAGCCGGAACTCCGTTCCTGTGCGTTCCTGCCCCAAAATAGCCCGGGTTTTAATATATTTTATATCTGTTGTTTGGATTTGTTTATCCAATTGCATGCATATATATATATATATATAAAAACTGCTACCCACCTTGGGTCTTGAGATGCTTTGGACAAAAGTAGACATATAAATATTTTTAAAAATGCAAATTCAGTCCTGATTTAAGATTGTAGTTGTTGCCACACTGGCTGTTTCCTTCTTTGTTTCTCTTTTGCCGTCCTCCTGTATCTCTTTTTTCGGAAGGGTACTCCCACTCTCCCACAGTTTGACAGTTTTCCAGTAGATCCCTGTGGACTCCTGTCATTCAGGCCTCCTTAGCTTTGCTAAAGTTCGTGGTCATTAGTACTGAAAAGGTTCCCCTAAGCTACAGGGGGATGGAGATTGAGCAATTGCTTTCCCTTGCTTGAATGTAACTGCCCGTGTGCCTTACTCCGCATCTCAAAGCCACATCGGCATGATTTATCTTGCTGGATTCCCCCCCCCAGCACAAGGTAGGCATTTCAGAATATTAATAGACTCCAAATGGAGATAAGGAACACGGGAGTTTGAAGGGGCAATAGGGTAGAAAACGAAAAGAATTCCACTTGTATATCAGCCTTGGCATCTTCAGAGCTTCCTCAGATAATTCTAAAAGCGGAAACATGAAGGTGAGTGTTTTTTAAATGTATTAAAAGTCTCAGCCTTACAGGCTGTAGGGAATAATTTGCTAAGTAAAAGTCCTCTGCATGAGTGTAACAGCATTAGCTCACAGAGTCATGTTTTGGTAACTGTGGCTTCAGAAACTTTGATGATCAAATATCACCCCCAGTTGGCTTTTACTGTTGGAGCTAGTTAGTGTTGTTAGGTATGCATGGAACTCTAGCTCCCCCTAGAGTTCATTTGTGAATTCGTCGAAATCCTTCTAAGGTGGGTCTTCCTTCTACTTTAAATCTGTTTTGACATGCAGACTCTTTGAATATCGAGGACGGGTCTCTCCTGTTCCTAGAGTGGTTCCTGTGAAGCGTCCACGGGTGACAATTCCTTTAGTAAGGCGTGTAAAAGCAACCCTCCCAGTCAAGCTCTTTTCCCGATCTGCTGCCATCGCAAACAGTTCAGCTAAATTAAAATGTAAGTGCCTATGTTTTTTTATTTAAAACATTGTAATGCCACCTTTCCACCCAACTTAGGGTCCACATTAAAACACACTTAAAGAGAGAGAGAGAGAATAATTAAACATAGAACAGGGAGAGATGCCACACAAAACAGAAAACTCTTTAACTGCTGGCAGAAGACAAGGGTAGAAGGGAATAGACAAATCTCCCTGGGGTGGAAATTCCATAATTATGACACAAACACATATTTCAGAATGTAAGCGTACCTTCAGGTTGCTGAATGTACCATACACTAAGAGTGGCAGACACTCTTAGTATTACTCTAGGTGTTTGCTGTGAAAAATACTGAAGTGCAAACAACATGTACATATATGTGCTTAGCTTTAAATGCCCATTTAAGCACATTTGGGGACCAAGATCTATCAGAATTCTCAGACATGGAGCTGCTCTATTTCAGTGTGAAATAACCCCTTATGGTATTTTCTTAGTTATGCTCTTTACAGCATCATTTAGTAAGATTTGCAAGATCTGTGGCAGTCTAAGACTTAATCTCCTGCTCTGCAAGATGTGGACGAGACTGAGGTAGACAACTTTTTGGCCCAAGTGCCAGTGGGGGGTGGGAATGAAGTGTCTACTTGTGGGGAGCCCCCCAGGCCTAAACAACTCCTCACTCACAATAATACAACATCTAACTTGAACATGGACACTGGTAACCCAAGTGCCAACTTTGCTGCAACATACACCCAGACAACACAATCACTGGATCTAACATCAACTACACCATCTCAGGCTGATTCACTTGCTCATCTTCTAATACTGTATATGGCATTAAATACCAACACTGCCCTTCGGTTCTCTACACATGGCAAACAGGTCAAACCCTATGCCAAAGGATACATGGACACAAATTTGACATCAAGAATCACGTAAAGACTAACAAAATTTGTGGGAGGGTATGAGCCTTCGTGAGTCACTGCCCCCCAAGTGTTCCCTCTGAGTTAGTGTGAGCTAACTCACCGTTTTTAGCCTCCGGCTCACACATTTTTGTCTTATCTCAGGAAGGGTGGCTCCAGAGCAAACTAATTTATGCAGTAGCCAAATTCCTCACTCACAACTTTAATACCAGTAGCTCACAAAGTAGAATTTTTGCGCACAAGACCCCACAGCTTAGAGGGAGCTCATACCCTGCCACAAATTTTGTTAGTCTTTATAGTGCTACTGGAGTCTTTCTCTTTTCTACTGCTACAGACAGACTAACATGGCTATCCACCTTGATCTATCAAGAATCACATCATTGAGAAACGTGTAGGAGAACATTTCAACCTCCCAAGGCACTCAGTGGGGGACCTCAAAGTAGCTGTTTTATTGTGAAGGAATTTCAGAAACAGACTAGAATGGGAGATTGCTGAATTACAAGTTATTACAACACTCAGTGGAACCCCCAGGGCTTAACAGAGATATCGGGTTCTTATTGCACTACACATGCTAAGTCACTCAGTTCTCCCTTATACCCAGAATTAAACTTTGTTGGGAAGAAGAAGAAGAAGGTGGAGGAGGAGGAGGAGCAGGAGATTGGATTTATACCCCGCCCTTCACTTGGAGTCTCAGAGCGGCTTACAAACTCCTTTCCCTTCCCCCTTCCCCTCCCCACAACAGACACCCTGTGAGGTGGGTGGGGCTGAGAGAACTCTGACACAAACTGCTCTTTTCCAAGGACAGCTGTGCCAGAGCTTGTGATTGACCCAAGGTCACATCAGTAGGTGCAAGTGGAGGAGTGGGGAATCAAACCCGGTTCTCCCAGATTAGAGTCTGCACACTTAACCACTATACCAAACTGGACTCAAACTTAGTTCTCACATCTGTTAACTCTCTTATCTGTATGCAAAATTGCTGCTATTTACAGGTCTTACCAACTGCTTTAATCCAATCTCAGCTATACGTATTGCTCAGTTACTTATGCATCTTCACTCTAATTAGCCCTTCCTGGCAACTAACCACCCTGCCCTCTCTATATATAATGGTTGAGGAAGACTTGTTTCAATGTATCTGAAGAACAGTGTGTGGACATGAAAGCTTATACCCAAAATTAAACGTTGTTGGTCTTAAAGGACTCAAATTTTGTTCTGTGGAGATATTGGTGTGCTGACAAATGGGGGGAGGGAAAAGAAAGGAGGGTTGAAGGAAGCCAAGTCCCAGTGGTGCTGCCGGTATCTCAGAGATTCCCCTTGGATTCATCTGAAGGCTGTGCAGGTCACAGAGGGGATGAGGGACAGAAGCCATGCCTGTTGCCTTCCCCTGAATCACTGGTCCCAGCAGTGCAGCCACTGCTGACGTTGCTTTTGTACAGAGGTCTAGCCCAGAGTGCCAGACAAAATTTTCTGGTGTGTCACTGTCAGCACATGTGTCAGGGGTTGCCTATCTGTGTTTTGGAGGGGGGCTTATTAAAACACTAAACTTGGTTCCTACCAGAAGGCTGTATCTGGTTCTCTGCGCCAAATGCTCCTTGCTAGCAAGGCCCAGGTTACAATAATTGTGTGGAGAATCTTTTGATCATACTAGAAACAATTGCCAAAAGGTCAGGGCAGAGACAGGGCAGGAAAATCCTCTAGTTGAAAAAGAAAATATTTTGTTCCAAATCGCCAATGCTTGTTGACTAAGGTATTTTCCTAGGTGATCTTATCAGAATCACCATAGTACAAGCTTTTTTTTTTTTGCCATTAAGTCACAGCTGACTTCTGGCAACCCTGTGGGATTTTCAAGGTAAGAGACTTCCTTGGTGATCTCCCATCCAAAAACTAACTAGGGCTGATCCTGCTTAGCTCTCAAGATCTGATAAGATTGGTCTAGCCTGGGCTACCCAGGTCAGAGCTAGTATCTGCGTGCAAGCCTCAAATTAGCTGATTATGGCTGCGGTCACACTGGTGGGTGCAGTATAGTGGTGCCTTGAATTGTAGCAGTTCAAAATGTAGCAGAGCATTTCATCCAGACGGCACACCCCGTGGCAGGTTACCTGCGCGGCCGTCCCATGAAGGAGTATCTATATTACTGTTGTGTTTCAACCACAGGACGAGCTGTAAGGGTGGGTTTTATTTAAATGCAGGCGGATGGATGCGCATATAGGCAGCAACTTAAAAACAAGTGGCAGAAACAGGTCTGCAAGTTCAGACGTCCCTTCCGGGTTCCTTTCGCTGCAGGAGAGTTCAGATGTCTGAAAAACCCAGAGGGAATCATGAACAATCCGTTCATACCGGACTTTCCCCGGTACCTGTTTATTCCACTTCCATTGCGGAACAGCATGGGCTGCCAACAGGAAGCAGATGTCCTCGTCTGGAGGGGCCCATTTATTCTGCTCAGGTAACGCCACTATAGCGCCACAAACTGCGTGTGTGACCGCAGCCTAAGAGAATTTGGATATTTGCATCTATGGTTTAAGATGATGGGAGGAACTCTACCTGCCAAAAAACATTTTCATGTCTGTGAAAGGCAGAGGAATTCTATACTGATTCCAAGAACCCTAGACAGTGGTCGCTCCAGGAAAGATCTGCGCTGTAAGTCTCTGATCAAGAAAAAATATGAATTTGCAAACCAGTAAAGAAAAGTAAGGCTTACTTCCAACTTCTTTCTCTTCCAAGTGAAATGCAATGAACTGCAGACAATCAAAACAGAGCTGACACAGATCAAATCTAACATTGATGCTCTCCTGGGAAGATTGGAGCAGATTGCTGAACAACAGAAGGCATCTACAGGTCAGTTGGCAATGGATGGCCCTGCTTTGGAACCTGTACTTCCAGAAGACTCCAAGCTTTCCATTTTTTTTTTTAAAGGCAAAGACATGCTGATGGTACCATACCGTTTCTTTTAGTTTGTCCTTGGCAGTACACCTGCATGGGGCAAGATTTGCCAGATGCCACTCATTGGAATCTCTGGCTCTAAGCCATTTTTGATGGTAGCTTGCCTCTAATTGAGCAGCAGAATGGAATAAAATAGCCAATGAAAATGCACTGAAACCTCTCACTTTTCCTGACTTAATCTTTATATCCAAGACTTATAACAATTCTGGAAGGTGTGTAAGCTTGACCTTGCTGATCAGTAGTGGTTGTTCCCATCAAACCCCCCCCCCAAATAACATGGAACAATCCCCCCCCCCGTATCCATCTCTCATTGTCTTCCACCAGAAATGATATTGAGGATCTACGCCTCCCACTCCCAAATCTAAATAGACCATCTCCCATACTCTACCCAGTAAGGAAAAGTATTTATTTTTATATTGGGGGGAGGGATGTTAACAAATTTTCTGCTTTGAGCTGTTGGGTTTGTAGCTTCAGTTGTATTGTGTGTGTGTGTTGTACAGGTTTCTGTATGACATTTAGATGCATAATGCTGATTTACTGAGACAGATAACACTGAGAAATGTTTACATTTTCTAATGAAAAATTCAATACAAGGAAACAGAAAACAGGCTAAAACAAAGCATTGCACATTTGATTTGTACAAGGGAGAAGCAAAAGAAAGAGTCAGACAATCTCTATTCCACACCTGTTTCTACTTCACCTAGGAAAAGGGGCAAGGACTATCATGCAGGGGAGAGTCAGAACATGGAAATGACTAGGAAAGGATGAGGGTAGCGGATGGGAATCTGTCTTCTCTATACACTCTACATCTTCTCCTGCAGAGGTAAGAAAGAAAGCTGATGGAAACAAAAGCGAGATCTCCCAAGAAGACACAGCATCAGAGGCAGAGATTAACACGGATGAGCCGCTAAACGGGGAAGAGGGCGAGGAGGAAGGCCTGGTGCAGGACGACTGCGAAGACGAATTGGTGAGAGGCCCCAGACAGGCACCCCTCTCCCAACAGTGCAGACAAAACAGCCTGGTTCCATTCTAACAGTGCTCCAAACTTCTGGAGAAAGCTGATTTTATTTTTTTCTCCAGATGCACTGAAGTTGTAAGAGGGTAGGTCTCAGCTGAGTATTGCAAGAAACTTCCACATAGTCACAGTGGCTTGACAATGGAACCAACTATGGGTGTGGGGTGTGGGAGGGGGTCCCTTGCTGGAAAGTGCCTGTCGAGAAAGCTGATCGTTTTGGACTTCCTGCATGGAACAGGAGGTTGGACCAGATGGTCTATAGCAGGGTTGACGAATTCATTTGTTATGAGGGCCGGATCTGACATAAATGAGACCTTGTCAGGCCGGGGCATGTGTGTCATAAAAAGTAATGCCAGTTAAAATTTTAAAAAGAAAAAAAAGTAATGCCAGGTAGCAGAGATATAAACTTTATAAAAGATGCAAACACAATTGAAGATTTGTTTTACTTAAAATAAAAACATGCTTAATACATTAGCACTTGCACTATTTTGTTTATTTAACATTCTCTGGTAACTGACACCTCTTGCTCTGAATTATTGCATCAAAATGTCTGTGCTGTAGCTATCTTGAGTATGCTATTCAGGTGTGTATCTGTAAGCTGCAAACCTACTTTTGATTTATTGACATTCATTACAGAAATCTCATGGACTCAGGGAAAAACAGGCTGGGCATTGCGAGCTTTTGTACATAAATTGTTTTGTGTGCTGGTCAAGAACATGTGAAGGCATCATGACACAGAATGAGGGCTATATGTTTGTGTAAAAACTATAGTATTTCCAGAAAAATAACTGCAACTCCTATGAGGCAGTGCAAGAATAGAGAGACAGCCATGTATAGTGGTCAGTATCAGTCTGCTATCTGGGAAGTCTAGGTTCCAAATCCCCAGTCTACAAAGGAAATGTGCTGGGTGAACTTGGTCTGGACACACACACTCAGCCTAATCCACCTCACTGGCTTGTTGTTATTCCTCATCTAAATAGTTCACATTGCATTCCTACTGAGAAAGACTGGATCATGAGGGCATGAATCCCGTGATAAAGAGGAGGCAAACCCAGTTGCACCCAGGACATCCACAGCATAATGAGCCCAACAAAATAAACACACACTGTAGCAAGCATAAAAGCTCATACCTTGAATAAAACGTTGTTAATTTTAAAGGTGCTTTGTATTTCTTCCATGGAATTGAGGCAGGTAAGGAAAGGGAGGAGCCTCAACCAATGGAAGAGAAGAAAGGCTTGCCTTTATCTCCTGTGTGATTGAAGGAGCCTGGCCAGAAAGCAAGCTCTGGCTCATTTCCTCCCTCCCCCTGGAAGGAGGAGGGGGAGGAGCCTCAACCAAGGCAGAGAACAGAACTTGCCAGTCTATCTCTCCTGTGCGATTCTGAGAGTCTGGCAAAGCAAGCTGTGACACAGCAGTAGCCGAACCAGAGAAGGAAGCAGGAGAGAGCCAGTTGCTCAGGAGCCAGATCCAGTCCACAGGCCGCATGTTTGACACCCCTGGCTATCTGCCTTTTCCAACTCTTTGGTGCTATAATCTTTGGTGCTGTGATTGTTCATGGCTTTGTCAGCCCCCTTTTAAACCCACGCTCAGATGGAAGTGGCCTTGTAGAAAAGGCCTGGTAGGCCTGGCTCCATACAGATATACCTCCATGCAGGAGTGGGTGCATGCTTTCCTGCAGCAAGGCAAACTCGTAATCCAGCCATTAAAACACTTGGCACATCGGACCTACCGCCATCCTTGTCATTAAGCTTTTACAGCACTGACCTGATAAACCAGAGAAAACAGTTCAGACTTGATTTAAACCTAGTGCTGGCTGAGGCACTTTTCTATGGGGCTTTACACTTACCCAGTGTCTTGTTTAAACTCAGCTGCAACCCCTGTAAGGCACCTAAGGGCATCAGCAAGGGCAAAGAGGCTTTACACTGCAAGAACAGATAATGTCCTGCAAGAAAAGGTACCTGCTTCCTCTTCCTCCCATAACACTTCCTGTGCTACTTGCCAGGGTTAGGGCTAGAATCAAGTCAATGGGGAGCTTCTATGCAGATGAACACATGGGATTGGATGCCATGGCTTCACAAGCCAGAGGTGCTGATGGCTGCAGAAGTGGAAGGCACTTGCTCATCTTTCCCCATTTTCCTCATCCCACATGTAGGGTTGCCAAATCTGGTTTGCAAAATTCCTGGAGATTTGGGGGGAGAGCCTGGGGAGGGAGGGCAGAGTTTGGGGAAAGGGAGGGAGCTCAGCCAGGATGTGATGGCATAGAGCCCATCTTCTGTAGCTGCCATTTCCTCCAGAAGAACGAATCTCAACACTTTGGAGATCAGTGGTAATTCGCTGAACACTCCAGGCTCCACCTGGAAGGTGGCCATCATATCCCACTGTTGTCTCTCTGATACCCAAAAGGGACTGTCAGGAGTCAAGGTTTTGAGGAGGGGGAAATCAAGCAAAATCACCTTCACCTTGATGCCATGACAGTGGAATTGGCCTAAGAGTCAGTTTTGCCTGATTCCCCCTCCTGATAGCAGCCCCTTTCCACGGGTGGACAACTCTAGAGCAAGCTCAGCCAGCCAGCCCATGTGGTGCTAGCCACAGGGGCCACTGGGTTCACAGCCAGACTGCATCCATTGTCATGGTCATCATGGCCCAGGTCCAAGCCAGGGTGGCCCTGCAGTGCAGACAGCATCTCAGGAGCGGCCACCTGATGCCCTCCAGGGTTGTGGCCCACTGGGAACTCCTTTCCCAGTAAATTAAAGGATTGGTCATCTTCTGCCTTCAGCCTCCCACAACGCTGTGGGAGCTCATGGGAGAAAGGGAAGGAGGGAAAAGATCCAGCACCTTCCACTCACACAGCCATAAAGTCCAACCCTCAGACTACTTTTCTTCCATCAGGCATCTGACATTTTTACTCTCTTTCAAGCAAAGACTTGCAAAAAGAGCCAGATAATCTTCTCTTTCTCCATTCTCCTCTCTCACTTCAGGAGAATAGCCATTATACAGATGTGGAGGACTCCAGCCTACAGTAACCAGGTACAGTCACAAGGCCACATTTTACTATCCAAATGTGTTCTTGAACCTTGCACATGTTTAGATAATGTTGCATGTTTAGTTTTTACTGGTACAATTAACCTCCCCCTGGCTTCGCCCGTTTCCTGTTCTTTTTGGGGGAAATGTGACCAGATTTTAATTTTTTGGTAACCAAAGGTGGGTTACAACATTATAAATTGCGGAAGAGATTGAACAAGAAGAAGTGAAGGCTGAAGGACTCTGAATTGTGCCTTTGAAAAATTTTGAATTGAGATGCTTTGGGGTATTTCCTTATATCAGTTAAATTTAAGATTTGGGAAAAGTTAACAGAATATGTGACTCAGTTTGTAATGAGATTAATATGATTAAGACTAGACGTGTATTCAAGCTGATTCGAAGATCTCCTCTCTTAGGTTTTTAGTCAGTAGTGGGTATCTTTTCTTTATCCCCTAAATGTAGTCCCCTCCCTTATTTCTGTTATAGTTTGTAGTTTTAATAAAAATGCAATTAAAAATTCCCCATTGGGGAACAAAAAAAAAAAGAGCAATAGGCAAGGAGAGGGATGCACATTAAGGGAGTATTCTGGCACTTCCAATTATTTTGTATTTTTTGATTGCTGGAAGACCTCAATTACATGGTTTTGTAACCATTGGGTTGGAGCCCATTGGAAGGCACTGATCATCTTGAAGCCTCCTGGCTTTCCCTTTCCGCCAGCAGCCATTTCTGACCCTAAGGTTGCAGGACCATGCAGAGGAATAGTCATGTGGGTCAAGAAGTGACAGTGGGGAGTTCAAATCACTCCCTCTTGCCTCTAGAGGAAGAAGGGATTTGACCCCTTCCCTCTACAGAATTTTAGATGGGGATTACACCACATGGATCCCACCACCTCAGGAATATACTTTCCTGAAGTGAGAAATGGCTGCTATGGGAGGAAAGCCAGGAAGATCACAGCTCCTCCTGCAGACCTTCACATGGATTTTGGGTGGGACTAAACCAGCTGTGTGACTGCAAGTGTTTGTCCAAGCTATTCAGGTGATGTCCATTTACTCTCTTCTTCTCCCCCCCCACCCCCAATCATCTTAGCATGTGATTCAGCACAGCAGTCATGGAAAAACCAGGACGACAGCAAGAGATTTATGCCCTGCCTTGGCATGTTGATCCAGACACGCATAACATGCCGGACTGTCATCCTCTCTGCCTGGCATCCAAAAGGAGAAATATGGACCCCTATCTTCGAGCCGTTTTCTAGTACACAGCAAACTAGTCATCCCAGTGGAACCCCTTCATTGCTCCCACCCTGCCCTTGTTCTACAGACTCAGAGCCCCGCAGCCCGTAAGCACCACTTGTTCCATGACCTTCAGTGGCCAGATACTGGAACTGGTTTTATATTGGCAGATAAAGATCTTAGATCTTTTCCCCTCCCTAGCATCAAGTGAAGAAAGGTACACAGCCTATCTAAATAGTCTTGTTCCCAAGAAAGATGGGGCATGGTGCTTCATAGCAAAAGGGGAGGAAAGTCACTACAGACAATTTATGGTTTTGCATTTGAGATAATGCCACCAGGGGTGCCGCCTCCTAAGCAGCTTTGGACCTGCATCATCATTGGAGGGTATACAGGCATTTGCTGTATGATGTCATGGACAGAGAATATGGCTATTGGTTGGGTTCTGCCTGGATGTTTACAAACCCTCTTTATCCATTCAGTTTCCTACACATCAGCAAAGGTAAAGCAAGTGGTAGGTCTATGCATAGCAGCAAGGGTGAGCACTGAATATAGTTAGGATACAACAGGGGACACATTAAATCGAGCTTTTCAGAATAAGGGATGAGATAGTAGCATTCACTTCACAACCCAGCACCCCATACTCCACAAGTCATTGACTTGCTCTTTATAAACATAAGGTCATCTATAGCTTATCCAAAATGGATAAGGAAGAGTAAAACAGTCACATGGAGAGATTCAAGATACTCGCATGGTAAGTCAAAGCCAGCAATGGCACACTGGGTTGGTCACCTATTTGTCATACCAGTAGCCTAGGACAAGTGAAAAATAAGGTTGTAGTCCTCCTTGCTTAAGTGCATAGGCTTGAAGCAATCAGATTCCTTTCTTCCCTGCTGAATCTGCTCTGATTCTTCAGCTGCTTTTAGCCCACTCACCCTCCACTTAAAAAAAAAATTAAAACAGATGTGCAACTCATTTATCTGCAACACGTAGCAAAACTGGAGTATGCCAACTGTCTTCTCTTCCATCTATAACTCCTCTCTCTGGTAGTTTACTCCATGACAGAGGTTAATGGGGTGAAGTTTGCTTAGCCATATGATTCAACACCTGTGGACATCAACAGCCCTATGGTGACCGACTGCTCATCAAGAGAAGGCGAGAACCACAGAATCACATTGGTCTGTTCTGAAGGGGACTGACACTAGACCTAAAGGATTTATCTTGGAAAACAAATCCCGACAAGGAAAGTTCCCTTTCTCTGGACATTATAATCAGGAAAGGATCATGGCTCTCAAAGCACAACATTTTACCTGTACTAGGTTGTTGTTTTACTGGGGAGTGAGAAAAAAGGGCAAAGTGTTGTTTTTCTCCTCCCTCCCCTCTTACCTTTTCTATTCGGGCTCCTCCTGTACAGTTTGCCTGCTGTATTGTACTGAGCTATTTTACAGCTGCTTTTTGGGCTTTGGGAGAGAAGCTGCAATGTTCTACTATGACCTGACTGTAAGACTGGGGTAGGGAAGGAAATGGGGGCAGGGGGACTTTGTATATATAATCCTGTATAATAAAAGAAACTTAATTCAGCACGCCATCTCTCTTTTTTGGTAAGTTGCTACCATCTGATTTTAGTCTAGTCGCACACATCGGTAGTCTTGGGTTTTTAATTGCTCTTTGCACTTTTTCTTTTGTTCCACTGTACCCACATTTAACGTTTATCACAATGCTGCCCATTTAAAACTAGTTTATAGAGAACCATTCCACACTGCAAAAAAGGAACTGCAAACAACAAATACTTGCACAGGACATTTCCCATACGGTTCTTTGCCTGTTTCAAGAGCTTCCAAGGTGTAGAACTGGACAAAAGTTATGCCCCCCCCCAACCTGCCACCCTCCATCCTGCTCAAGCTGCAGACCTGAGACTGCAGGATACCACCATTGTTCCGTATGCCAGTCATGGAACAAGGGAGGCTGAACCCCAACAGGTAACCCTGCAGGAATTTAGAAGATACATACAACCCTGCTCCAAAGTTTCTCCCCAGATAGTAGGGAGAAACTCATTGTTATACAAATTACATGTGTATAGCATTACTCAAAAACAACTGAGTGGAGCAGAGATACAGAATCCAATCCCATTATTTGTTGGGAGTGTAAATATAGGGCTGGATTCCATAATCCTTATACACAAAGACTGCAACTCATGCTCCTTATATCTGCAGTCTTTTCTTACCCCAGGTTTATCCCCAGGGCCACAGGACCCACCTAAACAAGTGGCTATGCAGGTTGTGGGGGAAGCAAAATTGCCCTTTTTCTATCCTGATGGCAAAGGGAAATTTCATCCACTTTGCAGTTGCAGCTTCCTGATCCATGTAGCTATTAATCCACATATCCTGTAGCCCCATACACAAATTCTTCTGGGATCAGAATTTGAACTCTAAACAGTTAAACAATTATTTGCCACAGACTGCTTTTGTATTTAAGCTCAGCAACCTGATAATTACAGCTTTTGGCAATCAGGCAAAGGCAATATGAAAACTGGAAGGGTGAAGTGAAAACATGTAGGTAGCACAAAAACCTCAAGCATGCTTTTAGACAGCTGCTATCAGAGCCTATCAGCTAATTCTTTTGAGTACTCTGGCACCAGTACTAGTGCACACTGGAGGAGGCCACTGAATTCCTGATTTTCCCTCGCTGTGTGCCATAAGGCTGACTTGATAACAAACAGAAGGATGACACATTCCATAGAAAACAGCTGAGCATTATCAGTGGCTTCTGGCTCAGCCAGAAGCTGGAGCCATGCATATGTTTTGTGCATGCATACTAAGTGTTTTAAAAAGAATAAGGAGACTGAAGGTTCCATTATGAAAACAAAAGCAGCTCTGGGAGAGTTTGCTCATTTGTAACCATTAGGCAGGAAGAACACTACTGTCACAGCACTAAAGCCAATTTTTATGTCATGCAGAATAAGGAGACATGGAAATTAGGGTCCACCACAAAGAAAGTGGGTACTTGGAACACTTAATTTTGCTTATCCTTTGTAGGTAAATGAACACATATCAAAACAATTTCCCTCTAAATTGTGCTTGCTTGAACAGATTTTTAAGGCCCACAAAACACGGAGGCACTAGAAAGTGGCACTCCTAGCCTTGTAAATCAATTATATCAAAATATTAAGGTAAACAGCCTTAATCATGTCTCCTACCTCACACTTAAGCAAAATATTCAAGGCAAAAGTTGTGAAGTTTAGGTGCTCATAAACAGCAACAGAACTCTCATCTCTCAAATGAAATTGGTCAACGTAAACAGCTACAACTACTTCCATCAATGGTCTTACCTAAATGGTTGAGACCAGCCCGATCTCATCAGCTCTCAAAAGCTACTCAGCGTCAACCCTGGTTAGTACTTGGATGGGAGAACATCAAGGAAGCCCAGGGTTGCTACACAGAGGCAGATGATAGCAAACCAACTCCATTCATCTCTTGTCTTGAAAACCTTCTAGGTGGCCACTGAGTCAGCTGTGACTTGACAGCACTTTCCACCCACACTTCATGCACACAACACACGTGTTGGAACACTAGTAAAGGTTCCCTTGCTCGAAAGCCAGTCGAATCCGACTCTAGGGATGCGGTGCTCATCTCCATTTCAAAGCTGAAGAGCCAGCACTGTCCGAAGACGTTTCCGTGGTCATTTGGCCGGCATGATTAAACACCAAGGCGCACGGAACGCTGTTACCTTCCCACCGAAGTGGTCCCTATTGATCTTCTTGCAATTTCTTGCTTTCGAACTGCTAGGTTGGCAGGAGCTGGAGCTAGAGACGGGAGCTCACTCCGTCATCCGAACTGCTGAACTACCGACCTTCCACAGCCTGCAGTTCAGTGTCTTAACCACTTGAGCCACTGCAGCTCCTGTTGGAACACTAGGGGGCAATTAAATGCTAAACTGACATTGCAAAAAGGGAGGTTTATAGTGATTGAATGAACTGTGCTCATGCAGAAATGACCCTCGGGGGAATCAAGGCCAGGAATAACAAAGTGCTTCGCAACTGCCCGCTTGTAGTAGCTCCTGGATCAGTTGAAAGCCCCTTCCAAAAGTCTGCACACACCCCTCCTTAGTAGCACAGGGTAAGCCATGTGTCCTATAAAACTGGTGCATTGGGGGGGGGGGGTTTAAAGGATATTTTATGGTTTTACCAATGTTCTTGGGGCCATAAAGATGTCCTGTGAAGACCACAATGCCATAGTAACATTACACAAGAGGCACTGATCCTGTCTTTATTTGGTTAAAAATATACATCCAATATTCATTACAACTCAAAATGCTATTAAAAACCATTCAGAAAACCATGAGGCTTTACTATTCAGTCAAGTAGTCTTCAGAAAGAAAATAAGCGGGGGGGAAACCCTGCTGGCATAGCTGAGTTATTAGTACACATATGGAATTTAAAAAATCAGAACAGAAATTTGCACGTCAAATCCAAGAGGAGCCAGCACCGACGGACAACCCCAATTTATTGAGGCTGAGCAAGTAGTATGGTTAATTTTAACACTGTACCATTGTTCACTGTAAATTGTAACTATGGTTAACTTTAATACTTTGCAGCCATATCCACGGACCAGACATATCAACTCAACTATCAGTCATCTTGCTCATTAATAAAATGTTAATTGCAAACAGAAATCATAACACAATGAAAGGCACTCTTACCTAATCCCAGTGATTGTTTCAATTGTTTTATACCTGATTTGTAAGGTATGACAACTAAAAAAACCTCAGGAGGCAGCGTGTTCAAGTCAGGATATAGATGGATCCATAAAAAAATTATCTTCGGCCCATTTGGGCAATCTGGTTTTTATGCCAGGGCTATATTATTGGTTGGATTAGCCCACTGAGAGCCCGTGTGGTGCAGTGGTGTCAGACTAGGGTCTGGGAGATCCAGGCCTGAATCCCCACACAGTTCACTAGGTGACCTGGGGCCAGTCACACATTCCCAGCCCAACCTCACAGGGTTGTTGTGAGGATAAAATGGACAGCAGAAGAATGTGAGCTGCTCTGGATTGCCCTTGGGGAGAAAGACAGGGTATAAATGAAGTAAGTAAATGGTACACAGTGAGGGAAGAGAAGCACACCAGAGTTACACCCTATGCATCTGGCAAAAGCAGAAGGGGGAGACTGGTGAGGGAGGGGAGAGCCACGGGCTCAGACAAGGGCTAACATGTGCTAATATTCTTGTAACAGGATATTTTGATTTGTGTGGAACACACCTTTGCATATCCTTGGAATTTAACCTGAAACGTTTGCTGTGCAAGCACACAACTGAAAGACAGAATCACAGAACTTTACGAAGTGAGAGCAGATGCTTACTGCATCATTTCCCCCCCCAAAGATATGCAGAAACATTAAGAGTGTATTCTGAACCCATCTAACAAATGCCAATTGGTATGTTTTATTTAATGAACTGTACTGGAGAGTCCCAGAGTACAGATGAAATTGTTGTTACAAACAGCACACCAAGGAAAGCTATCTTAGGGCAGCAAATCTAACACTAATGAAAGAGACATCAAAATTAATATGGGTGGGATTAGCGCACATAGTTCTTACATGCATGGAGTCATTCAACTGAAAGGAGCCATTAACAAGATTTCTAAAAGTATTCTATTCCATCTCATCAGCTCTTACAATATACTTATTCAAGATAAACTGTTCTTTAGAACACGCACCCCATTCTTTGACTCAAGATACAATGCCTACATGTTACCATAATAATCATTTAATAGAGAAACAGAAGGAAAGATTCAAATGAAAGACAGTCACTGTTATAATAACTTTAATTTTCCTTGCATTTTACAGAATTCTATGAACAGATTAAAAAGCACCTCCTTTTTCATCCCACTTCTGACAGTTGGTAAAATATTCAGTCAGCAAAAGTGCCAACAGTTTGAGGATCTGTATCTTGCAAGAATTTCACAGACCAACCCAAAGCCAAGCAGCTTTTACAATCTTGGGTTTTTTTAATACATTGGAAATCCACTCAGGTTGTAAGCCTGTCCAGCCATTTGTACCCATAGATCACTTTGGAAAATCCAGTGTCGACCAACCAACTAGTTAGCTTTGGCACGGAGCTGCGCTCTCTTGCCCGTGACAGCCTGGAAACCAGTTTTGATGCTGGCAACGGAGCAGCGCGAATGGCAAGATTCGCACTGCAAAAAATATAATCTGGTGTCCTTCTGTAAGATTGTGTCTGGTGACCGACACGTGTGACAGGTGACATATTCCTCTGGGGAAACAAAACATATGTGACGTTAGCTACAACATTACTGCTGACAGAGGCCCAAAATTTCATGAATTCAATCATGTAGATTAGCATTTTTAAAAAGAGCAGTTTCTTGTGTGAGGGAACCTTAATTTCTACAGTCAGCTACAAGTATGCAGGAGTTCACAAGACAGAGGCATCTGTTCTAAACTCTACAGAAACACAGCCGAAACATTTCCAGAAAATGAAATTTGCAACTGTGGAACATACTTACTGATATATCTTCTCAAGACGTTTTCTATCTGTTTTTGCTGGAATCTTCCTTTGATTACA